GCGATGAAATGAACAGGAACTTTCTCAAAAAAGAAATCAGAATGGCCAAAAGGCACATGAAAAATTGTTCTTCATCACTAATCATCAGGGAGATGCAAATCAAAACCACAATGAGATATCATCTCACACCACAGAGATTTGCCCACATTCAAAAGAACAAAAGTAACCAGTGTTGGCGTGGATGTGGGGAGAAAGGGACTCTCCTTCACTGCTGGTGGGAATACTGACTGGTTCAACCCTTTTGGAAAATAATATGGATGTTTCTCAAAAAATTAGAAATTGAGCTCCCATTTGACCCAGCAATACCACTTCTGGGAATATATCCTAGAGATGGAAAGAAGTATAATAGAAATGACATCTGCACTTGTATGTTCAATGCAGCACTGTCAACAATAGCCGGAATGTGAAAAAATCCTGAGTGCCCAAAAACAGATGACTGGTTAAAAAAACTTTGATATATCTACACAATGGAATACTATGCAGCTGTTAGAAAAAATGTCACTCTCACTGTCCTCCCGTTGTTTATCGATTTGCTGGAGCAGGCCCAGTTACACTGTGAGACTTGTTACTGTGTTTGGCATATTAAATATGTCACAGGGAGCTTGCCAGGCTTTGCTGTGCGGGTGACATACGCTCGGTAGCTTGCCGGGCTCTCCAAGAGGGGCGAAGGAATCGAACGGGGCTTGGCCGGGCTGCATGCAAGGCAAAAGTCCTACCCACTGTGTGAAATTTGCATATAAGTAGATCAACATGGAGAGTATCATGTTAAGTGAAATGAGTCAGAAAGAGAGGCACAGACACAGAAGGACTGCATTCATCTGTGAAATATAAAGTAACAGAATAAGAGACTAACACCCAAGAATAGTTAGAGATAAGGACCAGGAGGATTGCTCCACGGTTTGATCCTCCCTCCCGCACATGCTGGGGGAAAGGGCAGCTCAGATGGAGAAGGGACCACCAAGTAAAGGATGCTTGCAGGGCCCGCTCAGGATGGGAGATGCATGCTGAAAGTAGACTATAGACCAAGAATGATGGAGAAAGTAAAAGAGAACGCGCCTGCCACAGAGGCGGGAGTGTGTGTGTGTGGAGGAGATGTGGCAGGAAGGATACTGGGATCATTCGTGGTGGAGAATGAGCACTGGTGGAGGGATAGGTACTTGATCATTGTATGACATGAAAGTTTGTAAGTCTCTAACTGTACTTCACGGTGATTCACAAAAAAAAATTTAGAAAAAAAGAAAAATGAGATTAATGAGATTTGCTTTACCAAACAGTAAACACTTCATAGTACTAGTGAAATTAAGACAATGTTGACTGTCTAACTAGAGTAATTAAGTAACTACCCTGGCTAGACAGGCCCTCCCTCAAGGAGAAATATACAAAATCCAAAATCTAGTTCACAGACATTTACACAACGAAGAGAAAGTGTCTTTTCAACAAATGGTGCTCACCACAGAAAGTTTCCATATTCTAAGAATACATTTAAAAGTGTAAATTCTCAAGCTGCTTAACGGCCATGATCCCAGAGACTCAGGAGCAAATCTCGGAACCCAGCAGGTTTTGGCAGAAATCCCTCCAGATTTAAGTGTTAAAATTTTGGAATTTCAAAATCGCACAGCCACTACTGCAGCCATGCGACATCATGTTATTCATAACCAGCAATAGAAAACAAATTATCTACTGTTGCCCTTTCAGCAGATCTGAGTGTTGGGGTAAAATCTCAAATAATAATGGTGGGGCTGGTGTCAAAATACTGAATGTAATCAAAGTAGAGAGAGAGTAATGTGGAAATCATCTGCCCCACAGGTTGGGGGAGGGTGTGGGATGGGGATATACTGGAATTTTTGGGTGTGGAGAATGGGCACTGGTGAAGGTACGGGCGCTTCATTGTATGACCGAGACTTAGACCCGAAAGCTTTGTAACTGCTCTCACGGTGATTCAATAAATAAAATTATAAAAAATGAAAAAAAAAGTTAAGGTGGAGTTCATGCACAATTCAATCAGCTAATCAGTGGCTGAATAAATAGCAGTACTCCTACATAAAAAAAAATAAAAGTGTAAATTCAAATTAAATTTATACCTATTTAAAAATACACACATTGGTGGAGGGAAGTGAACTCTGAAGAGATTGGAATTAGAACACTGTAAGCACACCTGAAAAACTTTGTAAATCATAGTGTCCTAATTAAAAAAAAAATATAATGATAGAACTTGTAGAAAATGTTGTGAGGTACGGTCTTCATGCCCAGGTTTCAGGGATTATTTCAGAAGGACAAGGAAAACACTGCCTATTATAGAAACAGTGATAAACTGTTCTTAATTAAGTTCAAATGACAATACCAAGAAGCTGAAAAGCAAAAGGTAGAAGAAAAAACATTTGTTTATTTAAGAGCAAAAGAGAGTCATCAGACAAAAATCCTGACGAAAGAAAAATGGGCAAGGGGCTTGAATACACAACTGAACACTGAATGATTAATGACACTGAAGAGTGTAATCTTGTAATGACTAAAGGAAAGCAAATGAAAAGAACGAGATATTACCCAACAAACTGATAAGGCCAACTACAGGCAATGATGCAGTTAAATGGTACGTTTTTGTATTAAGAAATAGCTATTAGTCTAGAAGTTTGACGAAAACATGGAAGGCCATTGATGATACAGAAGAGTTCTTAAAACAAAAATTAAAAGCACACTAAAACAAGGGACTGATAAATTCTCTAAAGTCATACACAATTAGCAATGAAAGACATATTCTGCTATTATTTTATACACATGAAGCATATACATACAGCAACTTTAGGCAGAATTTGAGAGTACTTTACTGTATCATGCAATATATAATTTGGTTGGTGACCAATAGCTGCAATATAAACTAAAATTAGAAAAAAATAAATGCCTCTAAATAATAATTCCACAAGCTCTACTTTGGAACTGGGAAGAAGCAGAGTAGGGCAGGGAGAAAGACTGGTATTCTGGAGGGAGGTTCAAGTATTTCAGAATATCTGCAAAGAACCTCACTACCACTTTTAAGTCTATAATAAAACACACATATAGCAAAGCATTAAAAAGTAAAAATAATTTCTGATCAGCCTGCTATTTGGATGTGAATGGGCAATAATAAATGCTTCTGAAGTGAGACAGCCTATGTAATTTAAACATAGCTCCTTAATTCTTACCTATGATAACACCCTCCTATAGAACCAAGACCACCATCTGAATTATATTAGGTTTAATTATTATAAAATCACAAAATACAGAGATTAAGCAGAGAGTTCCCATATTTCTCTACTGTCATATCTGATAGGATATAATGAACTCTACTCAGTCAATCACAAATCACAAATCATCCTGTTATTCGTCGATTGCCTCGAGCAGGCCCCAGTAACATCTCCTTCATCCTAGCCCTGAGATTATATTCAGGGCTCTTTAGGAGAATGAGACCCATCATTGTTACTGGTATATGGCATATTGGGTACGCCACGGGGAGTTTGCCAGACTCTGCCGTGTGGGCAGGCAACATTCAGTAGCCTGCCAGTTTGTTCAAAGAAAGAATGAGATAATAAGATGTCATAATAAGGTGTCGCGCGGCTGTCTCACTCAGTCAATATATATGGCAAACTGACTTTGTGTTTTCAGGGCTCAGGAGGTCCAAGGTCTCTCTTGGTCAGTTAGGCCAGCGGTTCCAGGTTCAGGCTAGCGGCTATGGTGCTGCTCAGACCCCAAGGCGAGGACTGCCTGGGCCACCCAGTGGTGCTCAGGGGACAGAGTGGTGCTAGAGACCAAGCAGGGATCAGCAGCATGAGAAGCATGTTTGCCCTTATTATCTCTCCTGCCTCACAAGCGGACTCCTTACTTTCTGCTTACTATCCTATTATCATAAATTATAATAAAATAGCTTGCCGGGCTCTCGGAGAGCCCAGCAAGCTACCGAGAGTATCTCGTCCGCATGGCAGAGCCTGGCAAGCTCCCTGTGACGTATTCGATATGCCAAACACAGTAACAACAAGTCTCATGATGGAGACGTTACTGGGCCCACTCGAGCAAATCGACGAACAACGGGAAGCCCTTTATAATAAAATATAATAAAAACACATGCAGCAGCCTTTCCTTTTATATTCTTTTCCTGATGTGAAGTTCTTAAGAGTAATACAACACTTAAAAATCCTCTCAAATCTATGCTTCTAAATTAGCATTTCACTCACTATATACCTGCCCCCCCCCGACAAAAACACAAATTCAAACTAAAGAAATCCACCACTATCCAACATGCTTCTCAGCAGTCATCAAAGAAAGCAAATGCACACTCCCTGTCACATTAAAATGTAAAGCTTTTAGGTGACTTGGATGTACTGAGATGAAGTAGCTCCAGAGCGAATGGTCACAGACCCTGAGAGCCACCTGTAGAAGTGAGTTCTGCTGAGGGATGGGGCAGCAGGGATGGGGCAGCAGGGAATGGTACCCCAAGAGAGAAGCGAAGGGGCAAGGACTTTCTGGTACAGAAACACAGGATGCTTAGATTACCATTAACTATTACTATAGCTGTTAAGAATTGAGAATCATGGTACCAAAATTACAAAAAAGAAACCTTAAAATATAAAGTTAAATATTCATGTATAATTAAACTGAAAGAGAATGGTGGAAATTCAAACCCCTGACATCAAAGGCGAAAGGTGAAAAGTGAAAGGTGAAATTCAAAGCCCCAGCCCATCACAGAACTCTGGAGTCGCGATGGTGTTTGAAAGCAGGATTAAATTGAAAGAGTAAAAGATGAGGGCCAGAGAACAGATGGTACAGCCATGCACACAGCCAACCCAGGTCCAATCCCAGCACTGCAGATGGGTTCCCTGAGCACTACCGGGTGTGGTCCTAAACATAACTGCCCCTCCCACCCCCAAATAAAACCCCACAAAGTATACAGAATGAAGTTATTCACAATCCTATTTAAAAGCATATACAAGAGAATTAAATGGGTAACACAAATGACAGTATGTCTGACTCACCAACATAGAATGAGCAGTTGGAATGTAGTAAACTTTCAGTCCACAAGCGACAAAGTTCACTTTCAGTCAGAGCTTCAACTCCGTAACAAGCTTGATACTCCACTTTTGGTAGTACGTAAACTGGAAATTGCTGCAACAGAAGGTTATGTCTTTTCAAAGCTCAATTTACTGTTAGTAGCAAATACATTTGCCTAGATAGCTCTGCCACTTTGAAAATGATTTCCAGTCATCTTATTTCATCCTCTCAAATTCAATGGGATTCAGACAGAAAGATGAATACATTTGGGCCTCACGAATAGAGAACCCTTGGTAGGTGGGTACAACAGGAGATTGGATTAAGAGATCAAACACCTCTTCACCCAACACTGAAAACCAGTCCTAAAATTCAACGCATCACCAAACCTAAGCACACATTTTATCTGTTGGAAAATGTGACAGACATCAGAATCTGGGGGAGAGAATGTATGATTCCTTACTGCCCAATGTTCCAAAGCTCGATGCATATGTAAGTTATTGACTATGTATTAGTTATTCTCTACTGGGGCAAAAAGCACTCAAGCTTCCGTCCAAACATCAGTCATACTGTCTCAGGTTCAAATTAGCAGAGATTCTTGTTTCCATCATCCAGTGAAAGAGGACTGAATCCAAGATCTGTGGAAGGCATTATCTGCATACATTTAAAGGTTTCACACCTGACAGCAAACCCCTTCAGAGTTCTTGGTCGGGACCTTCACAGAAAGGCCATGTCCATTTCTTGTCCAGCAGAAGGAATGGAAGGAAGCACAGGCTCGTGTGGTCACAGAGCACACTTGTGCTAGCTTACTTATGACCAAGCAAACTCTGCCCCTCACTTCCCCATGCAGGGGCCAGCCTGACTTAGGGAATGCTACGTAAGATGAACAGTCGTATTTCTGAAATCATAAAAAGCTATACTACTTAATGCACTTGAAAATACTTCAGAAAATTTTCAGATTCCTTGATTTTCAAAAAATGGGAAATCCCGTGGTCTTGGCACAATGATGGTAGTAAACAGAAATCTAATAATCTAGTAAACAGAAATCTAGTAAAACTTCCACTGTGGTGTGTTGTATTGTGTTAGAATGCTGTCGTATTAGGGACTGAACCCTGGACTCTCTCATGTAAAGCCTACTATGCTCAGAGATTAAGTTCTCTCTCTCATGAGAAAGAGGAGCTGCTGAAATTTCAAATGTGCACAAGAATACACTGGTTATCTTCTTAAAATGCATAATCTCGGGTAAAGAACTGGTTTTGCATTTTGAATAGTTGGCATTCCTAGGATCAAACTTTTAAGTACTAAGACCCTCTGGAGAGTCATATCTGATTAAAACAAATCAGGTATAATTAAAATAATATTACTGCTAAACATGCCTTAATTGTATAATAATTCTTTAGAAATTGGTCATTTGCATATGACTTACAGCTGCCTCTAACTTAAGAGCAAATAAAGAAATGACGGCCCCTAAGAGTCAGAAACAAACTCAAAGACTCAAGGACAGAGTTTACAGCAGAGCTAATGAAAAGGTAACTAAGAAAAACGCCCTGTTTTTCTTTTTATAGTTATTGAGGTGTTCATGATTGGGTTTTGGTCTTAGCAATGTTTCAACAGGCGATCCTTCACCAGTACATTTCCCAACACCAATGTGCCCAGCTGCCCAGCCCAGAGCCTGCCTCCATGACAGATTCTCTCTCTCTCTCTACACCGCGCTCCTTCCGCCCCACGTGGTTTGCGATAATGTCACTGAAAGGTTATCACGTACATCGTTTTACCTCCTTTCAGCACTCAGTTCTTGTCCAGAGCGATCATTTCCAACCAACACAGTCACAGTGGTCCCTTCTCTGCTCTAAATATACACCCTCAGGTACTCCCTTTATGAAGTATAACTGGATAAAAGTTATTTTAAAGTTTCCTTTTTTTTTCTCTTGTCCATTTCATTCTTGTGTCCAGTCGATTCTTTCTTAACATTCAAATGCCTCAGGATCCTTTCTTCTGGTTATAGAATGACATTATACATTTCAAATAACTGGACTCAACAGCCCAAATGTTTTTGAGCACACCTGGTTGTGTTCAGGACTTACTCCTGGCTCTGTGCTCAGGGCTTCCTCCTGGTGTTGCTCAGGGGCCTACGAAGGTCACCAGGGATCAGACCCAGGCTGGCTGCATGCAGTGGAAGCACCCTACCTGCCGTGCTATCTCTCTGGACCCAGTTATTTCCAAGTTTCTTAACATTAAAATTTCTTTTCTGTGAAAAATATTTGAGGGGATTTTCCTTGATAGTTTCACCATATGTATAAAAGCAAACCCTAAATCTGGTTTTTATTTCTCTATGTATTCTACTGCCATCTCCAGGAAGCCAGAGGAAAGAAATCCCTGAATTATTTATTTTAGTATCCCAAAATTAGAGTGAAAATTACTTTCACTTTACAAACATCTTCTATGTAAAATCTAAATTGCCTACTTCTTTTCTTATTAGATTGGTAGCTCCTATTATCTCCAAGTAAAAATGTTCCATGATTTTCATCTTCTAATTTTTTACATCAAACCTTATAAAGGTTTACATGCATTCCTAAACAGATTCAATTATTATTTCTTTCTTTTTTTCTTTTTGGCTTTGAGGCCATATCCAGCCATGTTTGGGGCTTAGTCCTGGCTCTGATCTCAGGGGTGACTTCTTATGGGGTTCAGTCAGGTCAGTCACACTGGTGGCAAGGCAAGCACTCCACCTGTCACAATCATTCTGGTCCTAATATTTCATTCTTGTCGCCCAGTCCATTCTTTCTTAACATCCAAATACCTCAGGATCCTTTCTTCTGGTTACAGAATGACATTATGGATTTCAAATACCTGGACTCAAATTTTCCAGTTATGTTTGACTACAGCACCCAAGAAAGTTGGCTGAGATAATATCAAATTGTTCTTATTTACTTGGTTACTGTGTCTGACTGCAGAATTGTCACACATTTTTATGTCGATTTTCTTGAAAAAGCAAAAAAAAGGAGAGCAACCATTATATGAAGTTTTTAAAAACACAAGTGCTGAATTGCTGGGCGTGGGGGGGGGGGGGGGACAAACAACCTTCACAACAAACAGAAATTATGAATATGTGGTGAAATATGGAAAAAACTAAAACCAAAAATCCTCTTAAATTCAGGGGTCAGAAAGACAATCCTGGGTTAAGGAACTTGCTATGCACAAGGCTGACTCCAAATTGATCCCCAGTACCCCATATGTCCAGATCCCCACCTGGACTGACCTGACTACAGAACCAGGAGTAAGTCCTGACTTTGTATGGGTTTAATCTCTGGCACCCCATATGGTCCCCCAGTTTGCTACGAGTGATCCCTGAGCATCGAAGCAGGAGTAAGCCTTGAGCATTGGTGGGTGTGCCCCCTGTATGTCCCCCCCACCAAAAAAAAAAATAAACATCCTGGCACTCTTCACTCTTTCATTTAACTGAACACTGTTCGTTTTCCCTCCCCTGCCCTTATTTAAAATATTTTCTGTATTTTATTTTAAATAAACCCAACAAACTCAATCTGTAAATAGTACTCCAACAGTGATCAAGAATAAAAGTAAATTTCAAAATAATGTAACATTAAATAAGTGCTGATTACTATGTCAACGAGTCCCAGCTTCCCAAGCAACTTACTCTTCTGATTTTCTTTCGTTTTTTGGAACGTGGCCTGGTCTCTATTCTCTGGACACTGCATCGCACAAGCAACAGCAGGTCCTGCAGGCTGAACAACTTGTAAACAAAATTTCCTTCCTGAGGGGCTACATATTCCGAAGTATCTTCAACATAATCTTGAAGTTCATATGGCAATCCTTTAAACATAAATATACTTCAATTATTTTTTTACCTCATATTTGCCCTTTATTCATCACAAGATAAAAATCATTCAATTTTCTATTCTTAAACATCCATCAATGCTATTTTCTTTGAGCTGACCCAGGCACTGTCACCTTTGGCATTTGTTTGCTGTCAATGGAAATGCACCAAATGCTGCACCAAGTTTGCTTCCTTTTAATTAACCCTAGGCAAAGTACCACCAGTGACACCGTTTATGAAGTGAGAGGAAGCAAGAACTTAAAAAAAGTACTGTTATTCGAATTAAGGCAAAGCTGATTAAAATCTTCATTCTAAAGTAACAAAGCATAAGAGTAGTCTCAAGCCAAGAGTAAAAATATTTGGACTAATAAATATTTAAGCTTATTTCTTATACTTCCTCCCCCCCCCCCCCCATTTGGCAAACCATCTGACCTAAGTTTAGCAGTCCTTGTACCTGCTGGACACACATAGATTACAAAATCCATCTACCAATGAGTGTGTGTGTGTGTGTGTGTGTGTGTAGACAGAGAGAGATAGAGAGAGAGAGGTTGTTTAAGTAAAAATACTGTAGGCTGAAAATTACCAGTGACTACATAAGAATCATAAAATGGGGATGGAGAGATAGTACAGCAGAGATAGTTGCCTTGTATGCAACTGACCTGAGTCCCATCCCCAGCATCCCCTATGATCCCCCAAGAACCACCAGAAGTGATTTTCTGAGTGCAGGGTCAGGAGTAACCCACGAGCTTTGCTGGATGTGCCCCTCCCCTGCCTCCTGCACCAAAAATAAAATATAAAACAAAGCACAACAAAGAGAAAATGAGAAAGTGAAGAAAATTAAGGATGAGAAACAAGGCAACACAGCCTCTATTGAAACGCTTTGATTTACTTACGTCCTTTTGGCTTCTGAAATGCAGAAGGCCAGGAAGCTTTTGGCCAAGCTGAGGTGTCTGAAGGAGTACAGGGCTGTTCAGAAGGAGGCTGCTGAGAATTCTCCAAATTCATTAAAGGCAATTCAGGTACTTTTCTGGATATTGGTTTTAAGAGTTCATCCTGCATTTTTAAGATTTCTCCAACTGGGTCAAATTTTTTATAGACTCGTTTGATAGGTTTTTTTAAAACACAAGATTCCTCAGGACAAGTAGAGTCTGTCTGGTTTCCTAGGGAAGACTGTGCTGTGGAAGAATTTGGACTCACTGATTTAGAATTTAAATTAGAGTCTGCATTGGTTGTCTTTCCAATGCTAGTGTTCTGACACTCTGTGTCAATGACTAAACAATCTTCATCTGTATCACTACTGCAAGCAACACCTTCAGGTTTCGCCGTGTTTGATGTGAGGGTCTTTTCCTTTGAACTGTCTGTGTGCTCTGGAACACCGAGTCTCTCTTGGGCACAAGCCTGGTCAGCAACCACATGGCTTTTGTTAGTAGTTTCAATTTCCATAGAGCTTTCTAACTCTGAAGCTTTGGAATCACAATCCTGCATCAAAACTCTGTCAGAACTTGCTGCCTTTTCACCGGAGGCGGCAAACCCTGACCCATCTTTCTCTTGACTCTCTTCAGAACCACCATCCACACCAGTCACCAGCTGTTTCTCCTTCTGCAGCTGCTCCAGCAAGATCTGAGATAAACGCCTCGAGTTGGCTGAACCGTCTGGCACACCTGGAGCCACAGCAGCGGGTGCTGCAGTGGGGGCCATGGTAGCTGCGGTGGGCGCTGTGGCAGCGTCTGCACTGCTGGGCGCCGTGTTAGTGCATTTTGGGCTTGGTGACTGAGACGGTTTGGTAGTGGTCACTCCAAAAGTCTCAAGTTCGGTGACATCATCATTAAAATCCAGATCCAAATTCTCAAGGGTCTCAATTTTCCGGCTCTCATTAACTTCACAAGACATCTTTAAAACAATTTTTCGGGGATAAACCGTTAGCAACAATTCCAGGTCACCTGTCTTCATGTCTCTACACATCACAATGTTATGTTAAATACCCAATCAAGTCTGAGATAAATCAAGTCTTAAAATTTATTTAATCTTACTTTACCATTGAAATAGTCATGAAACAGACATATTTGCCAAGTTGTAATACAACCATTCAGGAAATGGAGTATACTTGTGACACAAGCAGAATTTCTACTAATCTGGAAGTACACAGAACTCCAGAAAAATTGGAAGTACTTCATAACCATATCATAAAGATATTGAAAGGTACAGTAGAAACATTAAGTATGAAAGCAAAAGGGAACATCCTTAAAGTATGTTTTTAAAAACAGATAAAAAAATTTGGCTGTTAAAATTTTCTTATTTTATTCAAATTTCTATTTCTATTTCATTCTTTCATTATAACCCTCTGTGTCAGGGCTTCCTCCCAGCTCTATACTCAGAAGAGTTCCCTGGAGGGGCTTGGGGGAAGATTTGGGATGCTGTCAAACTGGGTTCAGCTGCATACTAAGGCAAGTGCCTTACCCATTATACTATCTCTCTGGCCCCTTTCCATACTTCTTTTTCTTGATTATGAATCTAAATTAGTCCTATCTCCATCTCTCCTTAACTATTCACTCTTTCCTATACAGCATATATCAGTAATTGTATGGATTGGGGGGGGGGGGGTGGCTGGTATGGGGAAGGACACACCCAGAAGTGCTTGAGAGTCCTGGCAGTCTCAGGGGTCAAGACTGTGCCAGGGACTGAACCCAGGCCGCCTACATGCTGACACAGCTCACTGAGCCATCTCTCTGGCCCACTAATTGTGTTTTTGTTATTATTTTATTATCTGCACTCACGTAAACACCAAACGAAAATAAACGATTTTATTGCCTGCTGTATCAATGCACAGAACTTATCTGCTCAAAAAATATCTGAAGAATAAAGTTTTGAAAAAACACAATGCCTTGCACTGAAAAAACATGGGACATATTTAAAATATTCAAAATGATAAAAGTTAATATCCATAGACTGTTAAACACTGCTCTAAAAGCGTTTTATGTACTTATTTAATCCTGTCACGCATGTTACTGAGGAGCAAACTAGACATAGGTGAACTGTATAATATGCCTAAAATCACACAGCTATTAAGCATATTAAAAAGAACGAACACTTTGACCAAATACCTTTTTGCATCAAACTCACCTGTTCCTTTTTATACATGAAAGTCCTAAACTATGTGACTAATCAAAGTCATTACCATGATTACCACCATCAGTGAGTTTTAGTGCACACACAGGCAGCATTTCACATCTACTATCAAAGTTAACTATCATCTAACATTGTGAAGTCTCTTTTATTGAAAGAAAAGTGAAGCTGATGGAAGTAAAATTAGTTGCCCAAAGTCGGCAGTATAACCTGGAGTTCATTCTTAAGTTCCCATCTAAAGGCTCTATTTTTAATGCAGACATTTGCAATAAAAATTAATGCTTCAAAAGAATAAACAGGTACATTCTCTAGAGAAAAAGAAGAAAACATTACATACATCCAACTCAGATACATAATCTTCAGGTTTGTCCATAAATACCGCAGAGACTGGAACAGATGTGTTTTTGGACATCATGAATTTTAACGGAACTTCATGGAAGATCTGATTTCTCTCTCTCATTGTCATTTTCTTTCGTGGAAGTGGGGAGTTAATATAAATAACTTTAACTGGTTTAGAACCTTAAAACAGAGGGAATGGGTGATTAATTTTTATCATGTATCTTTTAAAAGAATGGCAGAAAAATCACTAGAGGACAGAATAGCAAATGTGCCATACTTCTGCCCTCCTTGAACTATGGTATCTTTAACATTCCTTAGAGATATAAGGTCAATTCAGAGGATCCTCCTGAATGCCTGTGCAAGGCTGAGCTGTCCAGGGCACCCGGAGGGGGCAGGTCAGCCCGGGACCTGCTAAAGCAGAGTCCTGGCAGCCCCAAGCCCCCACACTCCACAACTGCCGCTACGCTCCTGCCAGGCCCCACTGCTCAGGACGAGCCTCATTCAGAAATTAATCTGCTGAAAAAGTCTGGCATGCAGGTTTTGTGACTGAAATCTCTAGGCTTTCATGCAGTCAGGATGGGCTACCTCCTACCATTTCCCTGTACTTCCGGAAACCCCAGCAGTCATGCACACACACACCCCAAAGCTGCTGCCCAGTTCAAAATTTAACTCCAGCTCTATCACCGTTAAAAATTTTGGACTACCTGAAGCTTTTGCGGCCATGCAACATCTCAGACTACAACACTGATAAAGTACTAGTAGCACACTAGACTGAATGGACATAACACAGGAGACCATTCTCGATTAACAAAACATAAACACAGAAAGCATAACCTGTAACAACATTTTAGTCATCTCTTATAAGAACTTAATGGCACCATGGTGAGATACAACAATCTTCACTCACTTTCTTTAAAGGGATATTTTTTGATCATTCTCTCAGCAAATTATTGAATATAAGCAATCTAGATCATTCTCTCAGCAAATTATTGAATACAAGCAATCTAAAATAAATTACTGAGGTCCTGCTATGGGGACAGGCTTAATTAAGAGGTGGTTGAGAAAACTGGAAACAATGGTTGAGGGAAGGTGTAATGTAGGAATACTGCATGACTATAATAAATCATCACGAACAAGTTTGTAAACCACAGTGTTGATATAAAGTGTAAGGGAAAAACTGGAAAATATAAATAAATTAGATGGCAAAACAAACAAAAAAGATATAAGGACAAGAGAATCTGACTGTTAAGAAAAACATGCTTTAAAAAGGACTCCCTAAATACACTTTATATTTTTACTGTATTTATTACTCAGTTCTCAACGGGTTCTACTTTCAAAAAGTGCTGAAACTTTTAGAGCAAAGAAGATACTATATTTAACTCTAAATGTGTAGTTTTGTTTCATTAGACATAGTCTTTTATTATTATATGTTGCTACATATTAATTCTGATAGATATGAAAAAATACTAAATATAAAACAGTAATTTTTTGCAGAGGAATTTATGTGGCAATAATAATTTTAGTAGAAATCTATCAGAGAGTGTCTTGCACATTTATAAGCATAGACATATTTTTATTCTGAACCGAAGCAAGACAAATCAGTCTTGGTAACTCACATATTTGGGTTATCTAATAGAGTCTTACATATCCTTCAGTTCAGTGATTGTGCATTGTGTATTCACAGTATTGTGTAGTTAACTGACCTTCTGTGTATTGTTGGTCACCCTGTACCACCACTATTTCTCTACCCTCACCACTCCCCCCCCAAAAATACAAGTTTTGTAGATCTAATAACACATTTGTGAATGTTAAATTCTACAGTAATACTGTTAGAAATTTCTACTGAGTATAGCACTGTAGCACTGTCTTCCTGTCGCTCACTGATTTGCTCGAGTAGGCACCAGTAACGTCTCCATTGTGAGACTTGTTGTTACTGGTTTTGGCATATCGAATATGCCATGGGGAGCTTGCCAGGCTCTGCCATGCGGGTGGGGATACTCTCGGTAGCTTGCTGACTCTCCAAGAGGGGCGGAGGAATCGAACCCGGGTCGACCGAGTGCAGGGCAAACGCCCTACCCGCTCCAGCCCCTACTGAGTGTAAATGTCAAATTTAGAGCCTTCTTAAATCAAAATTCAGATTTTGGCATTTGACAAACCACCACCTATGCTTAGACATTTCAAACATACTAACTTCTCTCGAGAGTATTGACAAGGCAAATCACAAACCTGCAACAGGTATTAGCTGAATACACACTGGAATTTCCCATTGCTCCTTGTAGTCTGGTCCATGATTATTTAATAAAGTAAACAATGACTGACTAGTTAAAGCTACATGAGGGTGGTATCTTGAAACAAGCTTCTCTGCATTTGGATCATTACTAATATCCTGAAAAACAACACACAATTTGTTAACTGACTGTATCTGTTAAAAAAAATTTTTCTTGGCTAAAGAATAAAATGAGAAATTCAGAGTTGCTTTATACTAAGTACAAAAGATCACTGAAGAAGCTGAGAAATTATCTTCTTACTTACATCATGCATTGCTGCAGCTGTTTGCTCTGGTGTTTCAATGGCAGACATATTGTCTTTTGAGAGATGCAGTTTTGCAGGCATTGAGGAAAACACGGTCTTTACAAACTTTACACTGCCCTTAAACCAGAAATTAAAAAAAAAGAAAAAAGTATCATTACAAAAATCTTGGTTTTTTTCCCCCAAGTAAAAAGACATGTAAAATTCTTAACCTAAATGTTTTACTTTTCTAAATGCAGATGCCAAACTTAGAGCTTTCTTCAACTAAAAACGTTGATGATTTTGCTTGACAATCACATTTGTTTTTTGAAAAGGAATCCAATGCCACGAAAATTCCACTTCCACTTTAAATTCTGTCATCTTATGTAGTACAAGTCATAGTAGAGTATAGCAGAGCCTATAAGTGTCTTTTTACTCACTTTCTGTATGATTCTTCTCTATACCTACTTCCTACATAATTCTAAATAAAATCCCTCAAAATTTTTTTAAAAAGCCTCCTGCTTGAATTCAGAAACATTAAGACAAAAATTAAAAATACTAAGAAATAAATATGGTAGTGGAACTTTTACAAATACTAAACACTGCCATTTATAAAATAAAAAGGGACAAATGTGTAATGTATATTTTAAAAGTTCTACAACATTACTGCTCAAAATTTATTTTAAATATAAAATGAGTACATGAAATAGATGGTAATTCAGGCAAAATGAAATAACTTTTTTTTTCTTTTTAAAAGCATATACTTTTATACAGTAAACCTTACCAATGCAAGAAGTGTTTTTTCTAACTTTAATCCCATCTCCAATCTGAATGGGAAAAATCCCATTAAACTGGTGACTTCATGCAGAGTATAGAATTCTGGGTACTTTTTCACTTGCTCAATACAAGCTCGTAAAATTTGCTAGAAGAATTAAGAGAAATTCATTTGAATTATATATCTCTAATGTAACAAAAACAACTGAGACATATGACTATGTACTTATTCATTTCAAATATTAGCCGTATTTCATTAATTAAATTTCAAATCAGACAGGCATTCTATATATCCCCTATTTAACTCTATTTTTGCAACAATTCTTATTAGCCTAATTTCTCAAAATATTGGTAGTAATACTAAAATTAAAATTAGCAGTATGTTTGAAATTAAATTATGAAGAAACTGTTTGTAACCAAGAAAACGTGAAAGAAATAAATCCACATATAAATTTCAATACACTATCTACTTCAATAAAAGCAGTAACATGAGAGACTCAAAAAAAAAAATCTCGAGGGCTGGAGCAATAGCACAGCAGGTAGGGTGTTTGCCTTACACGCAGCCAACCCAGGTTCGATTCCCAGCATCCCATATGGTCCCCTGAGCACTGCCAGGGGTAATTCCTGAGTGCAGAGCCAGGAGTAACCCCTGTGCATTGCCAGGTGTGACCCAAAAAGCAAAAAAAAAAATCTTGAAACCCAGTGGCTTTTGGCAGAAACGCGTCCAAACTCCGCATTAGGTTACCAGTCCCCCACCCTGCCCCCCAGGTGGGAAAAGGTGCCCACCCACCACCTGTTTCCCCTGGCGGCTCAGGGTCTACCATCTACTTCTCTCCAACTACTTAGAAATATTAATAACTTACAACAGCCAGCCAGGTAGGGGCCCAAAGTGAGGAGGAGTCTCATGGGATAAGGGTGGAGCCAGCCCTTCCCTCCCCCGCCCCAAGGAGACCCCTGGGTCGCCACCCACGAATGGGCCCTCTTGCTACTCAACAAGCTGCTTAAGCCATGATCCCAGAGACTCAGAAACAAATCTCGGAACCCAGTGGCTTTTGGCAGAAATCTCTCCAGATTTAACTATTAAGATTTCAGAATTCCAAAATCACATGGCTGCAGTCGTGACATCATATGCTATTCATAACCAGCAATAGAAAACAAATTGCCTAATGTTGCCTTTTCGGCAGATCTGAGTGTTGGGGTAAAATTCCAAATAATAATGGTGGGTCTGGTGTCAAAATATTGAATGTAATCAAAGTAGAGAGAGTGGTGTAGAAATTGTCTGCCATACAGGTAGCGGGAGGGTGTGGGATGGGGGGTATACTAGGGTTTTTGGTGGTAGAAGATGTGCACTGGTGAAGGGACAAATGTTTCATCATTGCATGGCCAAGATTTAAACCCGAAAGCTTTGTAAATGCTCTCACGGTGATTCAATAAATAATAATAATAATAATAATAATAATAATAATAATAAAAGCAGTAACTTGAATGAGCATAAGTAAGCTTAATATCCCTAAAAGATTCCAAAGCACAATGAGTTACAGAAGCAGGTCATTTTATAGGCTATTCTAACCTACAATCTAAAACATAAAGGAGAAATGTTAGAACTCATTCAAATGATGAGTGTTTCCTTCTAAAACCAAGCTTCTCATACTCGGTAACGGAATGTGGGGACCGGAGGAGGTTCTTTTGAAAAATTTGTTTTGAAACAAATTCATCAGTAAATGTACCAGGGATCATATGGAAAGTGGGAGAGGTTTAAGACCCTGTTCTAAGATCCCTCTTTGGAGCCAGAGATGTGGCTCAGTGGCAGAGCACAGGCTTCACTTGTTCTATCTCACACAGAAAAATAAAACAAACCCAGTTTTCCTTAGTCTGTCAACAAACCTAATCTGAATCTTTCAGGATTCATTTTAGGCTGCAATAGCTCTTAGCAATGAACATCTTTGTCATATAGCTAAGATCTTTCCAGTTACCTCTAAAGATATGTGAGTTATAAATCAACTTCAGAATATCCTTTCCTCTATAATTTTACATCCCCTCCTTCCCTTCTTTGATACTGCATACTAACATTAACATTTTCTCTTCCATCCACCCTTTACAATGCTAACTTTGATATTAAACTAAGGGTATTACTTGAAATTATGGAAGAGTTTTAATACCTATGAACTCATACCTACATAAGAGTTTATTTCTTACTAATTGTTTCTCTGACATCCCCATCTAAGGTAGTCATTAAAAGAATTTTATCACATAAAGAAAAACAGTATATGTGAACTAGGTGGCACAGAGAGTATTCTAGTTAGCTAGTTCCAGGCATCTGTCTAATGGAGACACAGTGCTTTTAAGTGGAATTTCATTTAATTCAGCAACTATGGAAAGAGAAATAGGGGCCAGAGAGTGAGTACAGGAGTTAGGGCATCATCTTGAATGGCACCCACAAGTTCCCCCAAGAATCACCAAAGGGGAAGGAGCAACCCCAAAGAGCTTCTTTTTTTTTTACACTGAATAAGGTTAAGAGATGCTATCACCGACTTTATTAAACACTATTAATCCTCCAAATGCCTTGAACACTCAATACAACAAAATCACAGCACACACATTACACATCATGTATCTGTCATTACCTGATAGTGTGCAGGGGGTTGGCTGTAGACAGCTGCCCCCCCCCCCCCCCGGGTTTGGTTCCAGGCACCCGATGGCTGTCTGAGCACTACTAGGACTCTCAGGCACAAGTCAAAACTAAGTCCTGAGCACCACTTGGTGTGCCCTGGACCTCCCCCAAATAACACACCTCTATATTACAAAAAAAGTGAAAATGACTAAATGCTACATTTTACTCTCCCAGAAAGGGAAAAACTCTTATCATGTTTTAAAATTTAAAAAATGAAGGGCCGGAGAACTAGTACAGTGGGCAGGGCACTTGCCTTGCACACAGACTGCCACCCCATCGAGTCCTTCAAGCACTGCCAGGAGAGTGCCCTGTTTGATCGATATCATATGGGTCAATCCCACCCAAGTAATACTAGATTCTGGATAAACTACAATTAATAATTTCTGTGCACTGCTGGCCTGGTAAAATCAAGAAGAATGGGCACATGCTGGGTTCCATTCAGACCACATGGTCCCTACACCTTCAGGTGCAGCATGAGAGCTCATCGCCTGGGAGGCCCCAGAAGTAGCACACCTTAGGCCCTCCCATGGAGATGCCAAGGACTGAGAATTGCCTGGAGGGCACTGACTGGGAGCACCTCCCCCCCTGACAAAACAGAAAGAAGAATCTGCCATAGCCATAAAGGTAGAAACCAGCCCGACACAGTGAAAATACATAGAGCAGAACAGTGTGCCCAGGAGAAGTCAGGCGTGTAAAGGAAAAAGATACCCCTAATTCTTAGAGGGGCAGAGAGTTGGAAGTTAGACACACAGAATGGAGGCTTGAAACGCAGAAACGTGAACAGGCATCCACACACATATATTCACAACTAGACTAATCACAACAGCCCTGAAGTGGAAGCACCCAAGTGTCCATCAATGAGTGAATGGCCACGAACAGCCCACATGCAGGCAGTGGGAGACTTACTCCCCCTTACAGCAGATGAATGGGGTTCTGACAAAGCTACCAAAACAGAGGGACCCCAAAGACACAGAACTACACGAAAACAAGCCAGTCATAGAACTACATGTGTGGCTCCACTTGTGTGGGGTTCTCAGAGCAAATTCCAAGACAGGGAACAGTGATGGCTCCTTCAAGGAGCTGGACTGGAAGATACTGTTTGATGGCTTTGAAACAGCAAGTTGACCACTGTCTGAAGGACAATCCTGAAGGGCTATGGCACCTCTCATCCCCCTGGCTGTTTCTGAGTAGCATTCCCTGTAGAAAGCTACAAATCCTACAAGAAACACTTTCCTCATTTCTGTCGACCATTCTAGCAAATTGCTGAAGTAGACACATGGTTCCAGGAACTCTTTATCTGCTCCGAGTCTGAAATACAAGTGACAACCCAGGACTGGCAACTGCTGAGTGGGGCGCGTCCTGCAGGACTGGGCCTTCCTCAACTTGTGTGATCTGTGCCGAGTCGGAACAGTCAGATTAGAATTTCACTGAATCGCAGACCTTGGCCTAAGCTAGCACTCGGCTGGCTGAGCAGCGCTGGGAGGAGCATCCCCTCCCTGAATGGCTTTGGACAGGTCTAAGAAAAGCTGGGTTCTGGATCAGTGGTCTCCACCCTGATGTATTCTCTCCCAAGGGCAATCAAGGCATCAGACCAAACTACCAAAGCAAGCTAGAGCTTCCAAATACAGTTTTGTTGGATTAATCTGATCACTTCCTCCACCCCTCTCGGAGAATGCGGCAAGCTACCGAGAGTATCTCGCCCGCACGGCAGAGCCTGGCAAGCTCCCCGTGACATATTTGATATGCCAGACACAGTAACACCAAAGTCTCCAATGGAGACGTTACTGGGCCCGCTCGAGCAAATCGACGATCAACGGGAGGGCCTTTACCTTACCTTTACCTTTAATCTGATCACTACAGTCCTGCTCTCGAGGGCTATTCTCACAACTGAAATACACACTGCGACGGGCTGGAGCCAGTACAGTGGGGATGGGGTTTGCCTTGCACAGAGCAGACCCAGATTCACTTTCCAGCCCCCCATATGGTCTCCAGAGCCCAACAGGAGTAATCCCTGAGGGCAGAGCCAGGAGTAAGCCCCGAGTACAGCCAGGTATGGCCCCAAAACAAAATAATCACCACCACCACCACCACACATACACATACCAAAAACAAAATAACAACCACCACCACCACCACCACCACCACACACAAACACACAGGGAAAACTTCCAGTAGGGCCTGGGATAGCTTTGTGGAGAAGGTCCTGCCTGCCTCTAAGATCCCCAGCACAGGCCTCATGATGAGTGTGACCCTGCTAGCACTGCCAGTGGGGAATCACAAGCTCCCGGAGTGAGGGAGCACCGCAGTCAAGCACATGACCCCTGGTAAACATCACAACCTAAACCTAAGTGTCCAACAAGGATCACAACCAGGTAAGTGCGTCCCAGTGACTGCGGTTAACAACAAAGGGAAAGGGGAAGGTGGGGGGGGGGCGGGGGCAAAACTAGGAAACGCTGCATATAGTCTAAATGGACCTTTGTATAGGATTCTTGCACAGCAGTGTATTTCACAGCACTGCTCCTCAGATATCACTGCTGGCAGAATCCATGAATGGGGCTTCTTTACCTCTGTGAAAAGACGAGCATCGTCGGAGAGCATATCATAATCCTGGGCACATTTCTTAGCAGAATTCTGCAAAAACTTTAGGAATTCAGTAACTTCTTGGTTCACAAGTTTTTTCATATCCTGATTTTTTTTAAAAAAGAAAAATAGACATGCCTTAGAATAAGAAGCTTAGTTAAAAAAAATCATTTTTTAATAATTAAATTTAGGAATAATGAAAGTGTGTAGGAAAACATAAAAACTAAATAAGCACTACTAACATTAACACCCTTGTCATTAAAAACACCAAATAGAAAATCAAAAGTTTAAAAGTATAATTCAGTTTATGAATAAGGCTATTAAATAAAATGCTTAATATTTAAAAAAACACTTCCAAGGAAAAGTGAGCAAACAATACTGTGACAAATTACAAATGAAATAGAAGTGGCTTATATTCATGTGGAAGAAAGCATATTTTTATTAGTAGTCATGGCAAAATTAATAGACTGAAAAATAAGGATCACCAATTTTCCCATATCAAATTATGGCGAAAAGAAAAATGTCTAGCAATAATGAAGATTTCTTTTTAATTTCATCAAATAGTGGCATAAATTGTTTTAAACTTTTGCACAATATGCCCAGTGAAACTGCAAATAAAAACCTTAGAAACAGATTTTGATCTAGGCTTTATTTTAAATAATTTATCTCAAACATATATACGAAGAATTTGCAAAAACAGATACTCAGCACGGCACTATTTATATAATCAAGAATCTGGAACCTGAAGTAACAAACAAATAAGTAGAACTGATTCAGTAGTTACACAGAGTTCTAGTTTCAGCACTTAAACTGGAGTGAAACTGTAGAAGCAACAAAAGAATTAAACCATGACCGCATCATCAATTAAATTCCTTATTTTTCATTTTTGTTAGTATGATTACACCTTAAAACATAAAAGCAAATTAAAATATTTCCTGACTTTGTATTTTTTACTAAAACTGAAGAACAGTATACATACCAAGAACTGCATGTAATCATTTTTATTTATTCCAGCAGCTTTGGAATTTGTAGGAATTTTTGCATACTTAACCAACAAGTCCACATAAGCCCTCTGCTCCCTCTGTGAGAAATGAGAGAAACGAGGGTAAGGGACTCGTGGTTTGGGAAGAAGTACCATTCCAACTGTGGTTTTAACTTTTTTCTTTGCTTGAGTTGCTGAACTAACTGCCGGCTCATTTTCTACAGAACTTGCTGAGGCATTCAAATTTTCTCCTATACGTCTGGAAAAAAAAAATACAATTTACAAATATACGCTTTTCACTTGAAGATTACTATCATGGAACTTCATGATTTTCAATCACCAGGGAGAATACAGTGTGATTAAAACAGTAAATTTGGGATTATTTAACTCTGGCACCTGCATTTTAATGGCTAGCCATTTGGTGCAAATTAAGTATTCTGTAGGGTAGCAGCCCTTTACAAGCTCACCTTCCTGTAACTGATGGAGAGGATGAGGCATATCCTTAGACAGGTTGTTTAGTTTAGAAGCTTATCCTCTTTATTGAAGAGGGGTAAAACACTCTTGCCAATTATACAGAGAGGTACAGTACTTATATTTTATTAGAATACAGGTTGTTTTAATGCTTCTTCAGTAAAATACCAGGTAATAGGGTGAACAGAGGCCACGAAGTAGGTTATAATTAGGTCACAAAGTTGGAGTTAACAAATTCACTGAGATTCTAACTATTCAGTTTCCTCTGCTTTAATTATCTCAAAATTTTAAAGAAAAAATTTCAACACTGTGTACCATATTTTCTGGAAGCAACAGTAGTATTAGAAAAGTTGCATGATCCTCTATTACTTATGTACATGGCTGAGTGTATGGCATTATCTGCAAGGGACACAATCTCTATAAGGGACAAAAGCACAATCTTGGCATACTGATAATGAAATGGACTTGAAGACAGAGTAGTGGTGAGTAGCCAGCCAACCTGTTTTCGTATTTGTTCATGAAATGATTTTAAAAAATCATCTCAGAGGTCAGAGCAGCAGTTCAATGGGTAAGATGCTGGCTTGCACACAGTCTACTCAGGTTTGAATACCGGGCATCCCAAATGGTCCTCCAAGCCCCACCAGGTGTGATCCTTGAGAACAGAGCCAGGAAGAGTAAGCTCTTAGCACTGCTAGATTTGGCCCAAGAATCAAAAAATAAAATTTAGAAGTCATCTTATCATCTCAATTAATGTACAGGAATAGAGCAAATAGATGCTCAGATCCACATGGTGCTGAGTGTTGAGCTGCGTTTCTGGTCTTATGATGCCCATACCCTGCCCCTTCTCCTGTTATTTATGTGCTCTGACCTATGTCTTTAACACAGTTTAAGATACTGTACACTCATAGGTCTCCACTACTCTGATTTCACCATTATAATTATTCCCTGTAACTTGGTTACAAATTTAACAAGGAATAAGACAGGAAACAAAGGAGAAAGAGAACATCTGGGGATTCACTCTGCACTCCTCCATCCACTGATGTTCAGTGGGTGACCATGTGCTAGGGAGGAGATACACCTAGATGAGGCAGAGTATAGGACACAGTCACTTCACTAACCGTACAATCAAATAGTAAAAGGGAAAGTAGGTACATATATAAACACAGGTGACCAGTAAACCTCAGGACTCTACAGTGACCAACGAGGCCAGGGAGAAAGGGGACAAGAAATATTCAGAGCAGTGATTACTAGTCCTATAGTACTGATGGTCTCAGTACATTTTAGAAGCCTGTGGGAGAATCTGGGTTTTCACCAAAGAGAGCAAATCAAAGGCATCTAAACATGAGAAATAGTAGATAACCTGTAAAGTGGTCAGTACCTGCACAACTTTCAATGATCCCTTCAAGCTTCCTCTAAGATACAAATACAAATCCTCTTTCTCTATGATTAGTTTAGATAGCTTGTTTTACTTTTCTTCAGTCCACCCTTATTTCTTTTCTGTTTATCTGGTATCTCACTAGTACAGTAGTCTGTATGTGGTTACTGGCTTCAAACTTTAATACAAACTAGTAAAGGAGGTATCTTCTTTCTAATAAATACCTGAATGAAAAGCTGGCGGGTCCCACCCTATAAGATTCACAGTCAACACACTAGATCTGTGTCTGGACAAAGGGTAAGTTAAGCTCTACTCAAAGGTAAAGGCCCCTCCCGTTGATCATCGATTTGCTCGAGCGGGCCCAGTAACGTCTCCATTGGAGACTTTGTTGTTACTGTGTCTGGCATATCGAATACTCTCGGTAGCTTGCCGGGCTCTCCGAGAGGGGCGGAGGAATCGAACTCGGGTCGGCCATAGTTGGCCGCTTGTAAGGCGAACGCCCTACCCGCTGTGCTATCGCTCCAGCCCAAGCTCTACTCAAAACTACCACCAATTTGTTTAGAGGTATTTTTATGATACTCAAGAAGGTAAATACTCAGTAATGGTTGAATGAGTTAGGGGCCCCTAAATAAAACTCAATATTGAGACTGGTCACTTAGAACTAAACTACAGATGAAAAGCCAATCAAAGAACTGGGTAAGTGGAAAACGAATTTTGGAAGTTAAAATAAGGATACTCTTTTTGGCTCTGAATACAGAGTAAAAAAAGATGTACATAGCTACTAAAGTTTCTTCAGTAACTGTATAAAAATAAGCATATTTTAGGTGAACAAAATGAATATTAACTGCTGATCTTGGAAGAAATGTATTACAGCAAATTGATTTCTTACTAGAAAATGTCTTGAGAGCTATTCAAGCCTCACAGTATTGTGTCCTCAACTCCTAACAATACAGCTTCACAGCTGTCTCTCTGAATATGAGAACTTGTCTGTCCTTGTGGCACAAACTGGCAAATTTAATTAAGTTGCTGCAGCAACAAGATGCTGACTCAGATATGCCAGAGTAGGGATGTCAAGAAATGCGAGCGGTTTAAATTGGCTATATTCAGCAAAGAATGAAATGGCAGCACTTCAAGATCATTTCCATGTGCAGCGCTGTCAAAGTCTTCATCAGGCTGCAAGCCAAAAGCATCTGACAGGGCTTCTCTACCCACACTTAGAGCATTATATTTTATTTCACTTGATGGTTTGAAGCCCCCCTCTCCCTCATTTTGTCAACTACTCTGTCTCCTTTTTCATTTAAAGTTTCTATAAAAAAGAAGGAGAGGAGAAGGCAGAATTCAAACTTTTTGTTTCCTAAACTCTTAAGTCTACAGGTCTGAGCAGTTTAAGCAGTAGTGGGGAACAGGCCTTCTGGTCTCATCAACCACCTACCTACACCTTCTTGGAAATCAATTTATGCTTTTATGTCAAACACATTGATTTTTTTTCCCTATTTGAATCTGCCTTCCTCCCTGTTAACATAAAACTCAATTATAAATACACAAACTTTAAAAACAAAAAAGGCAGAGTATTTCCCTTTGGAAGAGGGGAGAAGGGTTAAATAAAAACCTCATATTGTTGATAGCAGCATTAGTTAGAGGTCAGTATTTTCTTATATCTTTTCTTCCTTTTTTGGGTCACACTGAGCAATGCTCAGGAGTTACTCCTAGCAGTGCTCAGAAACATATTGAAAGCCAGGATAATCAAATCTGGGTTGGTTACATGTGAGGCAAGCGTTCTACCCACTGTTCTATCTCTCCAGCTCCAGGAGAAGTCAAAACTTTTTCAAAACATTAGAGAGCACAAAATTCATAATTATGAACAGACACCAAAGAGACAGCACAGGGATTAAGGCATCTGGTCGACCCCCTCTGGCGCAGAGGCCCTGAGCACGGAGCAGTGTGTTGATGATCCCTGAACTGCCTATGGGCGGCTCCACATTCTCAGTGACTCCACATTCTCACTGAAGGACTCTCCAAGTTGACCCAGGGTTCCCGGGAGAGGCCAGGCCTCCTAAGCGCTGCTCAAAGTTCAACCCCCTTTCCCAATGTTATTCTGCTCTGAAAAAATTAAAGTTAACATAAAACTCAGTAAAATACATTTTCTCCAAAACAATACATGTTTATTAAGACCCATCACAATAGAAATGACACTCATTCTCTGATTCAAGTAAACCAGGCAATTCATTAGATAAGTGAAATTAATTTTAAAGGAACTAATTATCTCCAGGGAGTAATAGAAGTTGAACAAAACAAAAAACAGCCTTAAAAAAATATCCATAAATGCATATTTACAAAGAACTATTGTCTCTACCTACAGCAGTCCATTATTAATAAAGATGCTTTGCACCCAAGCTCTGAGGCACTAAAAGCTTATGGTCACAAAATCAAAAATCCCAGGCATCCCACGTGTGCCCAGCTCAATCCTGCAATTCCTAGAGCCAAACTACAGTCAGGTGTATGTGTCCCCGCAATCCCCTCTCCTCCCTATGCCCACCTTGCCAGCATCACAACTAAAAGTGTCTGAGTATAAAGGCCATTAAAGTAAGAGCCCTGGCCAGCATCTGAGTACTGCCACTGATGGAGCACAGACCGAGGTGAGTACCAAGAGAGCAAGCAACAAATTGACGTGTGGCTTCAGGGAACACCAGGATTGAGACTCGCAAGACAGTGGAGAGACAATGGTGAGACAGCCAGGTGTGCGTGCACAACCTGCTAGGAGCAACAGTGCTGGGAAAGGGGAGAGAAGGAATATCAAAAAAGACTGGACGGTAAAGAAGGAAGGTGCTTTGCCTTGCAAAGCAATGTGGAAGACCTGGGTTTAATCCTTGCATCACATACAGACTCCAAGCACTGCCACGTATAATTCCTGGGCACAAAGTCAGGAATAAGCCCTGAGCAGCACCTGGTATGTCAAAAATTTATTTTTCCTTCCAAAAAAGTTTCTTCTAGGACTAATAGCAGGAAGGTACTTGCCTTGAACAACCCTGGTCTAGTCCCCAGCACCCAGCACCTGAGCCTCACCAGAGGGATCTCTGAGAGCAGAGCCAGGAGTAAGCCCTGAACACCACCAGGTGTAGCACCAAACCAGTTTCTTCTGAAATTGCCTATTTAAGACTTATTTTTTATTGAATCACCATGAGATAGTTAAAAAGCTGTTCATGGCTGGGTTTGAGTCATACAGTATTCCAAGACTCATTCCTCCACTGGGGTACATTTCCCACCACCAACGCCCCGTTTCCTTACTCCCAGCCTCTCCCAGAACCCCCACCCCCAATCCCTATCAGGCATTATGGTTTGTTGCACAGATAACTGAGAGGTTATCATGTTTGTTCCTTTACTTATTTTCAGCACGCAGTTCTTATCCAGAGTGA